ATACGAATATCGATATATTTTTGTTATGCATAAAGTACTGTATATTGATGTATATTACTTAAAATTCAAGATTACAAGTAATTATGCATAAATACAACTTATTAAAGCTCGATGTTTGAATTTGTATAAATAACTGTGGATAAACATAATTAAATAGAGAATGAACATTTCATTTTAAAATATAAAAAATCTAAAATATAATTAGAATAATGATCGAGTTCCAAGAAAATAAATAATTATTATCTTTATAAAACAATTATATTATTAAACCAAATATAAATTACATTGTTATTGTACATAAATTAAATTATAAAAAAATTGAATAAAAAAATATAACTTATTAAAGCTTATATTAAAGATTACAAGATTACAAGTAGATTGTGCGTAAGTATAACTTATTAAAGCTTCATATCTAAATTCGTGTAACTAACTGCAGATAAACACAATCAAATACCGGATAAATATCTCAGTTTAAATACAAAAAATCTAAAATATTAATTAGGATAATCACTGAGTTCTAACAAAATACTTAATTATGATCTTTATAAAATGTTATATTATAAAACCAAAAATAAATTAAACTTAAATTAAATTATAATAAAAAAATAAATTAAAGAAATTACATATAAAAAAGATCTTTTAAATAGTTGATTTGATATTAACATTGATATATATATATATATATATATATATATTTATATATATATTTAAATTTTATATAATATTTTTTAATTTATATTTTATTCAAAAATAAAATCAAATTATTGCTTTCTTAAAACAAATAAAATCGTACTATAACATCGACAGGGACACAAAATAAAGTAGAACATTAAAATCGAAATGTATCTCGCTACATCGTGCAAGTAACCTTTTAGTATACTCAAATAGTCGAACCGACTACTTACAGGGAGGAACCCGAGCCCCAGGATCAGGCATTTGTTCGCCAGTTAAATTGACCCTCAAGGTTTGCCCGATTCAACATAAGGATCGGGTCAGTAGCATCTTGAAGGTATCTTCAGAATAACCGTTGTGACGTAAAATCTGCAGTTTGCAACATAACACGAAAACATCGAATGGGTCCAACCATATAAGAATCTTGTTATCTCGATCATAATCCTGCAACCAACCCCTAAAATTCAGACCTTTAAAACCATGATTCCTATCGAAATTACGGAACATTGATAACTAGAAGCAGATCGATGATGGTCTGCAAACCTTTTCTGTCACAACAATGGTGGGTTTGGAACCAAACTTGTTCTTGAGATTTTGAAGTCTTGCTTTGATCATCTCGATATCCTAAATCGAGTATCAATTGATTCATAAGTCGATTATGGTTCGTTGGAAAATAAGTTTATAAACCGTTAGAAGATGGCCATACCTTCATTTGAAACTGATGGTGGTCGCTATAGTCTAGCGAATCAACATATAACGCACCCATCTACAAAAGAATTTAATTAGTTCCGGCTTCGGATCGTAAGTCTTAAAAGGAACACACTACAACAATGTCAGCTTTATATGACGGTAAATACATCTAAGGGGGTTGTTTGGTTGGTTCACATTAAAACCTGTGTGGATTAGTTTGTTTATATAGATTGAAAATGTTTTTATTTCGGAAGATTTTTTCATAAATGGAATGAGCGTATTTTTTAATTGGAAGGGACAGGTTTAGAAAGAACTCCCACCTAGAATCTTACTGAATAAGCCACTTCCTATATTATTAAGCCACTATCAAACAGTCATATATAGCTGACCGAATAAGTTGTGAGTCCCACTAAGCTTATTAAGCTTCTACAAACAAGCCGTAAATGTCATGATAGACTGTTTTATAGGACTTAAGTTTTAGGATTGAACAATTATACGTCATATGTAAAAGTGTTACAATGCATTGATAAAACACTATTTAGGCGTCCTAACATATTTTTAAGAACACTTCTAAAATAAAACGTCTTAATAGTGTTTTTATAAACAATATTTAAAAGTGTCCTATAAAGAGATGTGTTCATAGTATCATAAGACACTTTTAAAGGTGTCGTATAAAAAGGCTAATAGGATTTATGGTGTCCTAAAAAACTTGATGCCCAAATACGTTCTAACATCCTATTGTAACATTTTTACATAGGACGTACAATCTTATAAACGTAAGTTTCATAAATCAGTCTAATAGGACATTTAGAGGTTCTTTGGTCGTTTTTTCATCAAGTCATGTATAGATAAAACCGTGTGTCTGGATTAATCTTTCTGTATAAATCGAGAAGGTTTTTGTTTGGAAGGGTTTTTCATAGATAAAAGGAGCGTGTTTTTTTTTATTGGAGAGACAAGTTTGGAAAAAAAAACTTGGCTTTTTGCATAAAGTTCCCTTTAGAAGCCGACTGAATAAGTCACTTTCTATATCATTAAGCCACTACCAAACAATCATGTATAGTTGACCGAATTAGCTAGTTGTGAGTCCCATTAAGCTCATTAAGCTGCTAACAAACATGCCCTTAGATATATATCTGGTTTCTATAAAGTTGATTTTGTTGTAGTGATATCGTACCTTCTCAATCCTCTGCACGAACGAACTAGGAGAACCAATTGCGGAAACACATAAAACGGTCTTTTCAAACACGACATCTAAAGGTAATCGGCACGAGATATTTGATGCCTTAAAGAAGTGCGAAGGAGTTGCTGCCGATAGGTATATAGGGAGAAACCGATTCGTTTCAAGAATTATTGATTTGATAACGGAAAGACTATGATCATGTACCTGCAATCGTTGAAGAACGATTTCATCATATTCTCATCATATAAAGATGCAAATGCATAAACACCCTCGTTCTTATGTTTACTTTTAAGTAATATTAGTTGTATACCCGTGCGATGCAGCATAATATAAAAAAAATTATTGTAAAAATCCGAAATAAGAATGACAATCATGCAATATACACATAAGTATATATAAATGACTAAATATGCATCTAAGAGAAAATCCATCATGTGAAAAACTATTACAATCACACAGACTAATCATTCAAGTCACCCCAATTACAGGGACACCTCATAGGCGGACATTAGACTAGATAGTATATGAGTGGAACAAAAAGATAGGATCAAGTGAATTACTAAACTACCCATGTCAGATTATGACCCTAAAACCTCTAGAATTCTTTCACCCACCTACTTCCCTCTCACCCGTCAGTGTACCAACACACCCTATGACTAAATGCTTTATAAGAGGGTATAGATGAATCTTTATACCATATCGGCGTGATGGATCACAGCGGCATCAGCACGAGAAAAGGAAGTCAAAGGCTCCCTTAAAGGTCCAAACGGTAGCAATTGGAGGTTTCCCCATGGCGACAACGCATTCACCATCACAATCTCTAGATCACGAAACATGCTTATATGCTGCTAAAGATATCGTTTATGAAACACCGATTCCTTTCAACATAATCAATCTAAAAAAATGTTAGGGGGAATTTGGTTCGCATAATAGAATTTGGTGGAATTAGAATTCATCAAAAGAATTTGACTTCGAAGAAATTGGAATGGAATTTAATGAAAATTGACCACACGTTTGGTTGGTAAAAATTGGAATGGAATCTCTCAAAAGAACTGAAATTTCCATTAGTGGCATGGTGATATTGGTGGTCGGGGTGAGGGTGACAGTTGTGATGATGACACTAGTGGTATTTGTGGTGGGCGGGGGAAGGGGTGGGGGAATGACAGTGACAATAGTAGCATGATCGTGGTGGGGGCAGGGGTGGCCGATGTTGGTTAAAATTGGATCTTTCCATGGAATTCAATTCCTTCACTTATGCCAAGGAATGATGAATTCATTAATTTGTGGAATTTAAAGGATCCCACCCATCTCAAGAAGTGAATGAAACAAAGGAATTAGAATTTGGTCAAAAGAATTTGTCATTCCAATTCCATCAAATTCCTTCGAATTCTGAGAACCAAACAACCCTTAGTTTCTCCATCAAGAAAGAATCATTGGTTTTACCTGCATTCCATCGTCAAAAATTGCAACTCCAATTTTCTCAGAAACAACTCGGCTTTTTGGTGTCGGTTTCTCAAAACGTGTGATATCAAGAGGGTAAATAAAACCATATCTATGAAGAAAAGAAGCAGCAGTAACCACTCGATTTGCACCCACACCAATCTTTACAGAGGTTCCATTGAAATGCCTTTGAAGCATTTTTGCTTCATCAGCGCCACCATATCCCTGCCAACCACAGTGACAGAAATTGTTTAAGCTCCTCCATTTTCACAAGTTTTGTTCTTAAAGTTATCAACTTTTTTAGACCATTGGTCTTTAGCTCCCCATTGCATTTTTGCCCAAAGGAAAACTTACGCTATGTTTGGCAAACTATCTGACAAGCTAGCTATTGATCTATCAAATAGTTGTTAGCAGAAAAAACTAGTTGTTAGCACATAAACTAGCCGACAAACTAGAAAGGCGGACCTACAAATTTTCTCAAGTTGTGGCACCATTTGACTATAAAAAGACAAATCTATGGGTATTTTTTACAATTGATCTTTGGTCTATTGGTTAGTTCCTTGCTTTTAGTATGTAAGGTCATGTATTCGAGTCTTTTACCCTAGTTTTTTCAAAAACATAATAAACCTGAAATTAAAAGCTAAAAACTAAGAAAATGATACAAATAGGATAGGAACCAAGCCTGAAGGGGGGAACAGACCGTGCAATCCAAGTCTACTTACAGAAACTTATGTTATTATTGTAGTTTCAAGGAATATAMGGTTGCACCCAACAATATAATATGGTGACAACACCTCTCATGGCCCTAAAAAAGTTCACACTACGATGGAGAAACAAAGCGGTGGCCCAAGCTACGTATGTATCATATGGGGTCCAACCCTGCAAACAGGGGTGGAACCACTTTAATAGATACGGTGGCACGAGCCACCACTTCGTTCCTCAGTCGTAGTGTAAAAAATTATAGGGTCGTGAAAGGTGCTACCTTATCATTTTGTTTCATGCAACCATGTATTTTGAAAATACAATGATGACACAAGTTTCCCTTGGTAGAATCGGTTTAAATGGCTTTTCTCCCACCCCACACCCAGGTTTGAATCCCATTTGCGTCATTTTYCTTAGTTGTTAGCTTTTAGTTTCCCATTTGTTATGTTTCTAAAAAAATTGTAATAAAAGACTTAAACACGGGACCTTACATATGAAAAGCAAAAAATTAACCAATAGACCAATGATTATTTTGTGAAMAAATATCCATATCTTTGAATCTTATAGTCAAATGGTGGCACTGCCACCACTTTAAAATTGTCTAGGTCCGTCTCTGAATGCAAACTAGTCATGTCATGTCTGGGAAAACCTAGCAGATAAAGTATATATAATACGGTAAAATGACCTAAGAGCCATGTAGAAATTAATTGGAAAAAAAAAACCTTGAACTTATTGAAACGTTACTTCAAGTAGAGCTTCAAAAAGCTAGCTTACAACTAACCAAACACCCATTTCGGATAGCAGTTTGTTTGACTTTGAATACCTAATAAGTTTAACCTTTTAAATTCAAGATAATAAAGATTAAACATGCCCATAAACAATTGTTAACTACATTACACTACAAACTTAATGAACTAGAACAATTATGGTGCTAAAATTGCAGCAAAATCTCATCAATTTTGCATTAAAAAAGTAAATGGTTTGACCTTGAAAGTCAAAGTATAGCAGTATCTATAATTCAACACAGTGATGAAAAGTACCCTGGTGAGAATGAGAGGTGAAACCCCAACTTCATTAGCAAACCAATTTGCAATGAATTCGACCATTGGAGTCTTTCCATTACCACCCCACGTCAGATTCCCGACGCTGATCACCGGCACTGGTAACCTTCAACAGCCATGAAAACGCATCAAAACCTACATAGAGATAGATTAAATCAATGGAAGAAAACTAACCCTAATGCGATTTCAGCTAGAAAACAAAAAATAACATGAAATCGATGAGAGATTGATGTAGATACCTGTGTTTGCGAAGGAATCCAAAGTGGTAGAGAGTGTGGCGGAAGGATAGAGCGATTTTGTAGAGGGAGGAAGATAGAAAGAGGAGAGGAACTAGAGAGAGATGAAGAGGAGACAGAGAATAGAGTCTTTGAGTGTATGCTATTTGGTTTACCATTTTTCTCAATTTCTCATCCATTGATGATGCTGAAGGTTCGATTGTTATGGTGGGAGAGAGAATTTTAAAGAGGGTTTAAGGTGAACAAAGATGGCGGCAAAATCGACGGATTTTAGGTATTTGTTCACAGGGTATAATTTCAAACGAAATTCATAAAAATAGACAAGGTTGATACCTAGTTTTTTTTTTAATATTTTTTTGAATGATTTGATGTAAAATGATTAAAAGACTCTTATGATATAATGTAAAATGAAATATAATTATTTGGTAATTGTTTAAAATAAAATTAAGATGTTAAATGGTTAATAGTAGTGGTGCTCATGGATTTGGTTGATCGGGTTGAAGACATTTAAACAACTCAACCCAATGCTTATGGTTTGGAAAAATCTTAACACAACTCAACTAACCCAACCCGTACAATACTACAATTGGTCGTGTTAATCGAGTTGGTCGGGTTGATACTTTGATATATTAAAATATTCTTCTAACCTTGAATATGTTATTTCTCTACTCATAATTTCTTTTTTCATCATCAACCATTTGATACAACTTATCCATGTTTCTTACATATATTACATTCAATTAATTTTCTCAATTTATATATATATATATATATATATGTTCACAGTTATTGAACATATATATGAATGAGTTATATAGATATGTGAATAGATTGAAAATATATGAATATGAAAAGCATACATGATAGTGTAATTGTCTAATGTATATATTTTAATAGAAATTCAACAATCATATTAAATCCAATAAATAGAAGGATATCGGGTTCATCGGGTTGGGTTGGGTTCAAAAAATAGTAACCCAATACCTACGATTTGACAATTTTACAACTCGATTAGATATCGGGTTGCTTCGGGTTGGGTTATTTCGCATTGGGTTGGGTTGGGTTGATCGGGTTGGTTGGGTTTTTGAGCACCCCTAGTTAAGGGAGTCACTTGATATAAAATTATTCAGATGATTTTAGAACCATTAAGAGACAGACTTTTTTTTTTCTGCCAAACAAAATTCACCGCTTAACAATTCATATGTTTCCTCTTAATTGAACTATTAAGAGTCAAATAAACAACCCCTTAATATGTAGAAAGCTTGTGTATATTTGTAAGGATTAGTTTTTTAAGCGTTAAAAATTCCATGTGTAAGGTTTCTGCATAAGGGTTTTATTTTTTGTGTAAGGATTCAACTTTCTTCGGAAGTATTAAGGTTTCGTTCAGTTTGCAGGAGTGAATGGATTTGGACAGACTTGGATTTGAAATCCATTTCAATCTCATGTTTGGTTTGTTGGATTATCTGGATTTGAAATCTTATGATTTAATTGAAATCATACAAACATGGGATTTTGAAATCCTAATGTGTGCTCAGAATATCATAGGATTTTGTAATATTATATGCAATAAGATTTTAAAAAATGTTAAAAACATTTGTTTTGTAATAATCGATTAATAAAAATGTAATTTAATTGTTTTTATATTTTTTTATAAATCATAGGATCCAAATCCTACAAAATAAACACACCAATGATTTCAAATTCATTCAAATCCAAATCTCTCAAAAACAATTCTGCAAACCAAACGTACCATAAATATTCCACTTTTTGTTTTGCCAGAAACCAATTTTCAGTGCAAAGATTGGCTACAAAGTAAAATCAAGTATGAAAATGACTACAAAAATAAAACCCCTTTGATAGATTGGCTATTTTTATAAATTTCCATAATTTCGACCATTTAAAAGAAAATCAAATCCGAATTTTAAAAGGTTTTTCAATTGTGTGACTTATTGCTTTGGACCATAATTTCGACCAATTTTCAGGTTGGAACATAATTTTCAGGCTGGACCATAATTTCCACCATAATTTTGACCAATTTCATGTTGTATTTGAAATTATTGGGTCAACTTGTACCATATATTATTCATTTTGTTCGTACATTTTGACTCACAGTTTTAAAACGTGTTTGATGAATAAGGTATCAAGTCTTTATAAGACAACATTTGTTTCCTTCCCAAACAGTGTGAAATCTTACAATCAACCCCTGTTGGGAGCCCATCATCCTTGGTGGCACCCAAATCTGGTTTCCGACTCTGATACCATTTGTAACATTTCATACTAACCGCATCAAATATTTTCCGCACGACTGGACTAATGTTTAAGATGCTTCTGGTGGAGTAGGTATCAAGCCCCTTATAAGACAACTTTTGTTCCTCTCCCGACCAATGTGGGATCTTACACATTTACCAGGTAGTCGTTTAGTAGACAATAGGGGTGCACAAAAAAATGTCAGCCCGCAAAACCCGCCCAACCCACTAACAACCTAATTAAACCCAATTCATCAACCCGTCAAACCGCCAATTAATATGGTTGGAATTGGGTTAGCTCAACTCGTCAACCCGCCGCTGACGTATAACTTTTATAAAATTTTATTTATATATAATATAAGAATAAAAAAAATTACTAGTCTATTTAAGACAGCTTTTATTTATATATATGATATATATAAATATATATCATAGTTCTAAATAACTTGTTATGGCGCATTATGCATCAAAGCTTCGTCTCTAAGGTTTGACTTCTATTATAACACGTTATAACACATTAAAATATATTATGGCACATTACAACATGTTATTTTGTAAGGTATGATTTTTTTAATATATTACCCGAGGGTTAAATAATAATTATATATTATATATAAGAATTAAATAAATATAAAAAAGAAACTTAACAACTAAAGCCTAAATCATAAAGGTTGGTTGGATTGATTTACAATTTTGAATGAGTTGGGTGGGGTTGGAATTTTTCGAGCCATTATTGGATTGAGGTGTAAAACTGTCCAAAACCGCCCAACTCAACCGTGTACACCTTAGTAAACGATTCATAAATCTATAAAGAATAGTATTTTATTGAATACATTTATAAAGTATTTGACAAACACTATTGAAAATCATTTTTTATGTATGAAGTATTGTTTATTGATGCATATTATTTAAAATTTGAGGTTACAAGTAAATTATGCGTAATTACAACTTATTAAAGCTTCATGTTTGAATTCGCACAACTAACTGCAGATAAACATAATCAACTATAGAATAAACATCTCATTTTATAATAAAAAATCTAAAATATAATTAGGATAATTATTGAGTTATACTTATAGCAGAATACTTAATTATTATCCTTATAAAAATTATATTATTAAACCAAAATAAATTACTTCGTTATTAAATGTTTAATAAAAAATTTGAATTAAAAAAATTACATAAAAAACGAGAATTTTTTAACTAGTTAATTTCACATTAATATCGATATATTCTTTTCAAAAAATTTATGAATATAAACATTATCGATTTCTTAAAGTCATATAAAACTGTATTACATCGATAGATACAAAAAATAAAACGAAACATTATCTCAATATATCTCGCTTCATTATACAAGTATCATTCTAGTATAAATAATGATATAATCTCTAAAATATAAAAATTATTGAAGTTGGAAATAATTTTTTTTATAGATTTTAAATTTTGAATTTTGAAGAAAATTTCGAACACGCTTTAACGGGTAAAAGTTGTATGGTCAAAAATTTTGTGCCTTTGGTTGCAAATGTCAATTTACCCTTTTGATTTCACCTTCATGTCTCTTGCGATCACACTTTTCAATTTTCAACATCGCTTCCGCCGGCCGGCAACACGCCTGCCGGTGCTGTGGCCAACTTGTTCGGTTGATCCTTGTTCCTCCACAACTACATACCTGAGCTCACTCCGTCAAGCTTTATCTCCTCATAACCGGTGAAAGCTCTGACTACAACATATGCTAATCGCCACCTAACATGCAATAAGTTTGTTCCGGTGGCTCTACGATCACGACCTGGATGTTTTTTCCGGTCGTCAAGCAGAGATCGTTTCATCGGAAGGTATGTCATCTTGTCGTCTGTTTTCGAAGTTATTGCAGATGATTACATACATATATATAATATATTGCCTGTGGTTTAACAGCAATGTGTCGTAATGCCACTCAAAATTGATGCATATTTGTTGATTTGTTGTTTAATTTATATATAAAACTTGAATTCAAACTTCTGAAATAGTTTTAATCATTCGAATAACTAACTTGAATTTATACATAATAAATCGGAAAAAAAAACAATGAGCAAATAGAATTACTCATCAAAGATATTCAATTAGATTACTGGTAAACAGTCGATGCACCTTCAATGGTTGCATTTGAGGCAAATGAAGTACTGGATATATACAAGCTACTTGTATATATCTATCTATCGATGACGATCCGGAAGAGATAACACGATTCCATGATTAATTAGGTTTTTGACTGGCTTGTCGAATAAATGGAATTCGAATGCTTCGTTGTTGTTTCTGGCTCTTCTTCAACTTAACGCTACCATCACCGTCGCCGGATTTGCCTTTTCTCAAAACACATACATCTCCGTCACATACGAATTTTCCGGTGGGTGATGTCTCTGAAAAACACCTCAAAAACTCGAACAAGGAGGCCATCTGTAAAATATGTTTAGTATGTGATTGTACAGATTGGCCTTGTGTGGATCTATGCATATACAATGGGATGTGTGTGTGTGTGTATATATATATATATATATATATGTGTGTGTGTGTGTATGAAGCACGCAGAGAAAAATAGTATTAAAGAAATTAAAGATCAACAACTACGTGTGAAGAAGTCTGGTCAATTGAGATGTGCTACAACTGTGTGGCGCAGATACGCAGGTCTACTGAATTGTGGTCAATACGAATATACCTGATCATTGCTTTTCTCTTGTTTCATGTTTTAAAACAAGAAAAGCATGGGAATTATTAAGCATGCAGCATGCTCTTTGAATGTTTTTTTCCCTTGCAGATTTAAATTTATTTATTTATTTATTTGTAACTTAATATTTTTCTTTTGAGCTCATGCTAACGACACTTTTCTCTATCCTTATAGATAATATTTTAAATATCATATTTTGTATTGTATAAATTCTCTTTATTTTGATGATATATTTTTTATCAACTTAAATATCTAATCCGTTAGACGAGCCGACTAATCGTAAGATGATCACCTGCTTTACGGGTAGCCGGAGTCGCTACATTTGAACATTTGTGGCCACAAGAGGATTTTTATTCCTCCTTGAATTTGAACCTGAAACCTCCAGACACTTTTGATGTTTGGAGTCTAAGTTCAAATCAATCAGACACCACTCTTGTGGTTTTCATTTTTGCACGAGTAACTAGTGATGGAATATGCTTCCATTACACTTGATCCATAATGTTCTATGTATGTTGAAACCTCTATTATCTTATAAAATGCATTTTTGGAGAATAATCTAACGAGGTTTTTTATATCCTCGTTATTTATATTAGAAGGGGTGAAGGATGATGCCAACCTTACCATCGACCATTATCAACATCCCTCTCCTGATAGTTAAAAGTCAATGTTGTAGTTTGTGTTTAATTAATTGTAGTTTGACTTTATAATTAGTTAATCATATAAATAGTTCTTGTTGGTTTAGTTGTTAGTAAGAACTCTCATATTGTAATACTCTATAGAGAGAAACGTGTGCTAGAGATGGAAACAATCAATGACATGTGATTTGAGCTTTAATTGTTGTTCTCGATTGTTTAGATACATTGTTACCTGATCATTGTGGTATCGTTTTTAAAAAAAAATATGCTTTTATGAAGGCCATAATTATTTCTATTTAAATTATATCATTATTAATCATCTTAAAGATGTGCATCTAAAATTCCTTTAATACATGCTCCTCTTGGTTGAAGTATTGTCTTTTTGATAATTATTTGCTTATCAACAATCTCTTATCAGGAAGTTCGGTTATAATCTAACTGGTTTTTCAGTTTTATTCTCTCAATATATATTTTGAATATTTAATTATTAATTCAATAAATTTATTAAATTATATGTAAGATCAAATGTTATATGTTTTTAAATAGGGGTGTATATAAAATCAACCAATCCAATTGGAACCGACTGATCCAATTAGAACCGAACGACCATAATTGGATCGGATCGGATTGAAAATTTCAACATTTAATTTAGATCGGTCAGTTCTCGGATGGCAGTCCAGAACCGACCAAAACAGAACCGAACCGATCAAAATCAAATTACCCGTCTAATTAATCATCTGGTGATCATCCAGTTGTCCATCCAACCATTATCCAATTAATTTATTTTCACATTGCTTAAATTGGAATTTGTTTTATGTGAGGCTTTGGATTTTTTTAACTTCTCTTGCGTTGATTTTAATACATATTACAAGTGATTAATTTGTATTATTATTGGAGAATTTGATTGAATTAGCACACTGGATGGTTCAATCCCAACGGATCATCCATTGGAAATCCAATAAAAATATCCAATAGATGTAATCATTCATTGGATTGGTTTGGATTGGATCGGTTATCCAATATTAATCGAATCGGATCGGTTGGCAAAATCCAACATACAGTAAATTTTGGATCGGTTCGATTCTCCTCACATCCAATAAATGTCAACCGATCAACAACCTTATTTTTAGGCCTTAATGATATATCTTTGCGAATGAAAAATAAACATGATGCTTGATTGGTGTACAGTATAACAATAATGTTTTATAGATGAATACAAATAAAATAAACCTGTAAATAAAACAAATATTGCCAACATATATAATGCATAAATTAGAGTATTTACATAAATAAAAGGGAATATTGAACCAAATAAGACTTGGCTTATGTTGAATCGTTGATTAAGGACCACTTGTTGAATAGAAACTGGGTCTTCTAATACCTATAGAATTGACCCAAAGGAAATGTCAGCTTGATTGCATGTAATCGTCATGGATGTTATGTATTTTGACTATCATATAATCTCTAAGTACATCCCAAGCAAATTATTTTTAAAAAACTAAAAGGATATTCGTATAATATAACGAGATATATTTTGATTTTAATGTTTTTTTTGTCTCAGTCGATGTTATAATATGGTTTTATATGATTTTATGAAAGCGATGATGTTTTTATTTTTGAATAAAATACAAATATTAAGATTTTTATTTTTGATGATGTTAGAAGTCAATGATTATCTTAATTACATTTTTGATTTTTGTTTAATTGAAAATGAGATGTTTATTCTCTATTTGATTATATTTATCTGTATACTGTAGTTAGTTACACATATTCAAACATAAAGTTTTAGTAAGTTGTACTTGCACACAATTTACTTGTAATTTTGAATTTTAAATAATATGCATCAATAAACAATATTTCATACATAAAGAACGATTTTTAAGAGTTTTTATCAAATATATTTTATAATATAGTATAGATAGAGAGTCTTAACATCACAAAATAAAATTACACATATTTTATATTTCAAAAAATTTAACATTAAATATATATATTAAAATATTTTATAAATTTATATCTCAATATAATGTAAAGAATTTTATATAAATTAATAATACATTTAATTTCAGACAGAAAAAAAAAATTCTCTATCCCTGATATAAATTTTAATTAATACTCTAAATTTGAAGTTTTCTCTTGTTTTATTTAATCTTAAACATATATAGAATTTGCAATAGTAAAATAAAGAACAATTTTCTTTTCTTTTTTATTAATCTAGATATTCAATCCGTTATGCGAACTGACTAATCATAAGATAACCACCTGCTTTGCGAGTAGCCCAGAATCACCGTATTTGAACCTCCATGATTACAAGAAGATTTTTATTCGTCTGGATTTGAACCTAAGACGTCCAGACACTTTTGATCCTTAGAATCAAGCTAAAACCAATCAAGCACCACATTTGTGATTGAGAACAATTTTTTTTTATTTTTTTTCTATTTTAGAGATTCTATTGGAGATGCTCGAAGTCATTTAACTTGAAGCCCATTACCATTTTGGGCGGAACAGAACTACTAATTCTTTGATTTCGATATTGGTGCTAGTGGCGATATTGATGCTAGTGACGATATTCTTGATATGGAGTTGGAACTGCTAATTAGCATGAACATGCCAACATGGTGGATAGTGTCATGCCAGTACGATCCTACAGACCATTAAACCCACCCACCCTTGTGATGACTCATAACATGACCGGTTAGCATTGACCTTAAAAACAAGAATGGATCCGTCGATCCTTATGTCGAATACAAATTTCTCGTCTCTAAAACCCATGTCTTTAGACATCCATACAATAGGTATCGGATGGCTTGGTCGCTGTTGCATGTGTCAAACTTGGGTTTGTATCAATACTCTCGATGGTTTTCGCTAATTTCTGAAAAGCAAAAAGAGCACCAAAATTGTTGCTCAAAATCATAAAATAACATCTTTTTAACTCTCAGTCTGGCGCCAGCCAGGGGTAGCTTCCTCTTGAGCTAAAACAAGGCAGAACCCCTGTGCCTGCAGCCTCTATCTTCTCTCTCTCTCTCTCTCTCTCTCTCTCTCTCTCTATTTTACAGACGCATCGATGTAACATATATCATATCGGATCTTTCCTCCTTAGAATGATGCACTCCATAGGGCATTGTTGTCTTCCCCACACCGCTTGTGAACCTCCTTGATCCTATCAGCAGACCTGCAAATTCCGCTGCAACTCCAGTCAAATGACGCCACACATATGTTCCCTGCTTGAGCCTTCCACTCGCAATCTACACCAAAATTTAGATGATCAACACAAACAACGAAAAAAGAAGATAAAAGAAGGCGTTATGATTGTTAGGATATGTGGAACCTCATGAGATTACTCTCCAAAAGATCTCTTTAAAAGAGAAAGGAGGGAGGTTCCAACATATATTAAAGTAGAAAAATCCAAACCTAAGCAATGTGGGACTCAACATGCCCCATCCAATGGACGCTAGACGGGCATAGACGTCCCAGAATGTCAAGTCCTGGGGGATGGTAGACGTCTGTTACCATATAAGATGTGGGACTCTAGCACGCCCCCTCCAACGGATGCTAGATAGACAGATGCTTAAGATGATATACCTTGGCTCTATTACCATATAAGATGTGGGACTCAACACGGCCCCTCAATGGAGGCTAGATAGACACAAATGTCCCGGATGTTTGACATTGACTCTGATACCACGTGACATTAGATTACTTTCCAAAAGAGCCTTTGATAGAGAAAAGAGGTTCCAACATATATATAAATAGAAAGGTCTAAGTCTAGCCGATCATGATTACCTGGTGGTGTTCCACAGCACAACCTCCTGTCATCGATGTGCTCCACATCCAGACCAATAAACCATGATCCCAATGAGACGTCCTCGTTGGCGTATTTGTGTAGTACATTTCTAAAACATCCCAAATGCTCTAAAGATGAGATGGAGAACAGAAGAGCTTAGAGAAAAGGAAATATGGTGCTCACTGGTTTATCGAGATGTAAGTAGCTAAATCTCTTGAGATGGCATATAGTTGTCCTGTAGCGTGACGGAAATACTTGTTTCCTTCCTCACCGAATTTCCAGTGCTCGGGTTCATGATATCTCACTCCTCTGGTTGCAAAACGGGCAAAGTTAGAAATCAGTCTTAGAACATGTCCAGACATACACCATCAAGCTATATAAACAAGAAAACGACTCCAAAATCATAACTTTAAGCAGCAGATTGCTACGTATGGGCTTACTTGTGAGCAAGAACAGGGCCAGATTTCATGCATCCAACGTACACACGAGATTTTAACTTGTATCTACTTAATGTCGCTCCAAGCGTACCTTCATTTAACATTCAAATTTTGTAAATAAATACCCTTACAAATTGCAAGGGTCTTGTAAAGTTGTATGATTTAGGCTATGTTTTTAGCTAATAAGATAGCTGTTGGCTAATAAGATAGTTGATAAACTAGTCATATTTTGTAAAAACTAGATGATAAGCTATATGCCAATGTAAAACGGCCTAAAAGGACATGTTGAAAAGTTAAAAGGAAAATACAAGGAGCATAACTGGAAAACAAAATATGTAAAAAGCCCCTGCAACTTATTAAAACGCTACTTGAAGTAGCTTTTCAAAAAGCTAGCTTATCGCTAACCAAATTGGGCTTTTTCAATAAGCTCAAAAAATAAGCTAGAACTGCAAACATGGTCTCAATTACCTATATTTACGTGTACATCATCATCAACTTTGACGTAGAAATCTGCATCCCATAGAGCAACAGCAGTAGTAAAATATGTTTTTGTTTTCGCAGACAATTCAAGGTACCCCTCGATGTGCTCCAGCCTCAAGAAATCTCCATGCTTCTTTTCTTCTGCTTCGATGGCTCTATCAAGAATGCCTCCTGAAGTAGCACTGCAGGTAAAATACTTAATCCGTTGTATGCATTTCGCATAAATAGATTAATATGATCGTTAAATATGTGCTGCCTACCTGTGACCTATCACAAATCGCATAACAATACCCTTTTCTTCCTCGAGCTTCCTAAGTTTATCACCTGAATTGATGATATGAAAACAATTTCAAAATTTCGTTTGAAATAATATTACAAGCAGCGGAAATTGCACAAGGGACAACAACCTTGAGGCATCCAAGTAGCACGAAGAGAGTCTCTTCTCCTTCGGCTGCTAAAAGCAGTATTAATGCCGACAACCATTAAGTATTTTCTTTTCCTAACTGGCTTGAGTAGCCTCAGATCGTCAGATATAGGAGATCCCGTAACTATAGAATCTTGCATGGCTCTTGCCGCCACTAATTCCATCTCCAAATTCGAAATCGTTTTGTCTAATGTTCTGCATCCAACAGTATCTTAGCCAGTTAACATGGGTGTTTACGCTTTTGGGAAACTGAAAGAACTAGGAAAAGGGTGCAACAAAGCTTACTGAACGGCATTATGTGTTTTTGAAACCTCCCCAGTTATGTCCTTCGAATCCCTCCTTACATCCTTCTAATCAAAACAAAAAATTTAACTTGAAATCTGAATAAAACACATATAATTAGAAGGAAAACAGATGATGATTATGTAGCTGATTACTCACTGATATTGTATCACAACCCTCTGCTAATAACTTAAGCTTTTCGGCTTCTGTTCCAGTTGGTCTTGATATGTCTTTAGCTTCAGGCTCAGTCCACATTCTACCACCAAAAAGAAAGCAGTAAGCACCAAATCTCTCTCTCTCACACACACACTCTCTCTCTCTCTCTCTCTTTCTCTCTCTCTCTCTCTATATATATATATAGTTACTATTAATGTGTATATTTCATACTGTATAGCTAAGCCCATCCTCTATAGTCCAGCCCATTCCATGTTGTATGCTCCTAATTATGGACGGCTAATGAGATCGGAAGGGATTATGGGAAAATATTCTGATTACACTTACTAGGAGTCGAAACCATAAGAAGCACGGGAAGAAAACTAGACCAACAAAGTAAAATGCACATGGATTTGTTACAAACTTACAACTACAAAAAATATAGCTTCTTGTTAGGGTAGGAATTAGGATAAAAAAAACAAGTTATCGATTGGATCTTTGAGGTGGAAAGCCTACAAAGACAAAGACCTCAATCTAGAAAATGCCCAAGAAGGCTGCTGAAGGGAAGCTACACTCATAGTCTAGTTCCCTAAGCACATCTCGGAACAACACGTTAGAGTCCCACACTGGTTAAACTTGGACCCATTTCTCTTCCATATATATGTTGGAACCTCCTTTCTCCCCTCAAAGGCTCTTTTTGAAAGCAATTTAATGGGGTTCTATCTATCCTCACATGGTGTCAAAACCAAGGTCTACCAGGGACTCAACACTCTGGGACAACCTGTGCTCGTTTTGGTCCCTCACCTGTCTTGCCTCCTCTTGACACTCGGACAGTACCCATCTAGCCTTCGTGGGAAGAGGCGTGCTAGAGCCCCAGACCAGCTGAACTCAGACCGTTTCTCTTCAATATATATAGATTGGATTCTGGTGAGGATGAAAGTTATTGTGAGAAGTGTGAGAAGGGATCTCCACCCTTGGATCAAAATTCTAATCAAAGAGAACCAAAGGATCAACATCGATAAGATTCACAGATCGATTCCCTTCTGAAGCGCAATTCATGGGTTGTTTTGTGAATAAAAGTGATCAAGGGTCCAATTCCTTAACACTTATTCTCACACGATCCTTCGTCTATATATATATATATATATATATATATATATGTTGGAAGTCTTTTCTCTCTTAAGTAACTCTTTGGAGAGTAATCTAATGGGGCTCCTTGTATTCTCACACAACAGAACCCAAGCAGGTGTGGCAGCTCCATGTCACCTCTAAATAACTACAAAAGGGGTCTTGGGTAATTGAAGTATATGTCTAGCACCAACCTCGCCTAGCTTACAGAGATGCATTCTGTCTTAACCATACTCTTAGGATCGGTGGAACTCATTTGAATCAGTCTCTAAAAGAGCTAAGGGGTTCTAACATATTAATATTAGGGGAATTTTTGGCTTTCCGCCATGGGCATCCAAAACATTAGGACCGACTTCGTATATATGTGTGTATATATAAGGAGGGTCAAACGAGAGAAGAACTAAATAAAAGAACATGAAAACAGCCAAATCAAGTGCAAATATAAGGGGCTCCTTTTATTCTTACATGTATATTTTACATCAACAGTTAATGCAAAGGTGTTCGAGTTACATGTCCCGCGACCTCATGTTGCGATCAAAGTTGCGTGAATCACATGTGATTTAGTGTAAAATCACATCTATTCGACCGCTTTTTTTATCTCTGATTTGGTTATTATTCTCGTATCAAACTGAATATATATATATATATATATATATATATATATATATATGAAAAATGGAAGTTTAGACGATGTAGGTTCCATTTCCTTCCTTACTCTCGGTGAATGTAGTAACATTCATGTGTGCGTTTAAGCTATCCCTAACTCTATTTACATTCTATAATTCATCAACCATCAATCACTTTGGGAGATGACAGTGATGAATCTTCAAGTAAAAAATTGCACGAAAACCCAAAACTTCAATTACCAATCACAATAACATCAATCTTTAGTCCAACATAGGAACTACAATCACATTGTCGAAAATAAGGTCAAAATCGTGAACATTTGAGTCAGAATATTAGAATTTAGCAGCAGATGATGATTATATGAATTCAAATAAGAAAACCTGTCGGTGAACAGCATTCCAGCAAGAAAGCAACCAATACATAGAAAAAAACTCAATTTCCTTGAGACCAAATTTCTCGAATTGGAGTCTCCTCTGTTCTTCCAAGCCATAGATGTGATTTTTGTTGTAAAGCTAATTTAAGCATAAACCCATTCGAGAAACTGAATCAACAAGCTTTCAAGATTTCTTGATTTCAAAACCAGCTCTGCTGATTCTTGTCTTGAAATAAGTGATTGTTGAGTCGAGGGCAGTTGTGAGAAGTGGTGGGGGTGGAAGGAAATGGAATACATTGGAAAAAGAGAGATACCCACCGACACCACAATGGGTTTATACAAGTTTTGGGCATTGTCGTATGGTACGATAACAGTTGTATCCTGGGTTTTGGTATTTCCCCCTTCAGTCAACCTTCTTTCTCTAAACCCTAAACTTGCCATTTCGGTTTTTGGGTCGTCTTTCTTTCTCAAATATTAATGTATTTTGTAAAATTTTAGGATGTGTTTGTCTAGTATTGTTTGGAAAAGGAAAGTAGAGGTCTTAATGTTAGGGCTTAATAAGTTTAAAGGAAATTTTAGATAGTGTTTGGTTAAAGATATTAAGCAATGATGCGAATGAAAATAAAATAAATTGTTTTTTTTTTTTACAATATGATGAGTTCATTCTCATAAAATCTCAATATTTTATTCCTGGTTAAACCGATGGGGATGAAAATTCATTCTCATTCTCATTTTTTAACATGAGCCAAACAGAGTCTTAATGATATAGAAAATGATTTATTTATGAAACTTTTAGGAAGTAGTTTTATGTATAAAGCTAAGTTTTATTCAAATATAATCATTCCAATTAAAAAAGATGTTCCTTTCATCTATGAAAAAACCATCTCAAATAAAAATAATAAATATTCCAACATTAATTATAATATTAAAATTCTTAAGTATTTAATATTTCAACAAACTTCCAAACAATTTTTTTTATAAAAGTGATAATTTGATATGCTTATAGATAAAAGAAAAGATTATTAAATTTTATAT